TTCTACCTCTGGTCACACTAGTTATAAACCCCAGTCTTGAAGTAGCTGCACTGTTCTGCCACTGATTAAGCCATCACTATTTTGGCAATGAGTATTGCCTGTTGAAGAAGATTTTTGTTTCACATAAATTCAGATATAAACGGAATAGCTTTAATGACCTGGGCATTTATATTCACCTACTGCCCAGGAGTAGCTGGGGATCTATACCTACACAAGGATATATCCCAAGCCAAATTTGTTCCACTAGACCCAGCTGACAGTGCATTCCTCACTCATTTGGTATATGTGTAGGAAAGAGAAATAGAGAGTGGGTTTGGGTTTTTTTTTTCTTCTTTGTTCATCTCTTTTTGTTTCCACCAGCTGTTAAGTAAAAGGACAGGAAGCAGGTAACAAAACCTGCAGCCTAGGGATAGGTAGGCAGACTCCTGTTGCCAGCTCAATCTCCTCCCTGCAAGCCTCCAATTTCTGCAAAACTGCAGGACTATGGCTGAGCCATGAAAGAACAGCAGCCTCTGGCATGTGTCCTGTTGCTTAAAGGAACAGGCAAATGAGAAGAAAAGAGGCATGAGGAGGCTGCAGAGATGGAATACACACATATTCACAGGTGAGGCTGCATCTGCACAAGAGGAAAAACAGGCAGAAGGGTCTGATGCAGGCAAAATGGACTGATAGAGAGGATACATGTACCCCCATAGGAGAAAATAACAACAACAACCAAAACGAAGTTATTAGGAGAATTAGAGGAAAGAAACTAATGGAAAGACCAAACAAAAATGAAAAAATAGAACTTAAATGCCATTAATAAATATCCATTTCTTGTGACAGACTATTAAAGCTTCAGTGCAAGACTGATTTTACAATTAGTACGAATAACCACTGTTTGGCGCTGCTAAAACCTAATGCAATAACAATTTATAACTATAAATCAGTTCTATTATTTTCTCAGATGTAACCTGAAGTGCAATACTGTTTTCTTTCATGAGAAGCCATGATGACCTGCAGTGAGCTCCATTCAGTAAGGTCAGCATGACTATAGTTGGCAATGGAAGCCAAAACTGCGGGAATCCTGCTCTCAGATATCGAGTTCCTTCTTAGAATCACTGGGTTCAGATGTTTGCAAGTTTCTCTAGGGAATACCAAAAACATTATAGCAGAGATAAGCTCAGCCTAATGTTTCTGTAACATGGCTGTTTCAATATCATAATGATTTATAACGCTTATTTAACCTACTAATTTAACCTGTAAGCTGGTGAGAGGTTTTCATATTTTTTGCTTTTGTTTTTAGCTATGATGTTGATAAATGCTGCCTTTTCCTCTTTCAATTTCCTTGTCAAATAAGAACTGGTTCTGTGGTTTACACTGAAAGTCCATCTGTCCCCTTGAAGAGTAGCCACAACGGGATACTTCACAAAGACATTCCTGGCCTTTGATTTCTATTGAACTCAAGGAGTTGCTCCCCTGTGAGAGAACCACCCGTTGTTAACTATCCTGCCATTTTGTAACTGGAGCGTTAAAAGCTTATACAAATGCAAATAACGCTGTATCAACAACCCATCCACTTCCCCCTCCCTTACAGCTCTGGAGAAAGCTCTGCGGAGAAAGTAGTCATTTCTTCCTCGCATAACATGCTTTGTTAATCTTTTGATCTCAGGCCTTTAAGGAACATATTGAAACATAACAATTACAAATTATATGACTCTAGGAGAAGCTGTAGTAGTTCTTGCCCTACTTTCAAAGTAACTTGCTCAACTGCAAGCCGACTGCACTACTATTCTGTAATCCTGCAAGTTAGGTGGCAAAATGGTGGTCTTTACTCAATGAATTTTATATAGAAATGTAATACTCCCATCGAATATGTAGTTGACACTACTACAGAATATATTATTGTATGTTTTAAATAATTAAGTCTTTATTACGAAATCTAAGCACACTGTTTACATCCTAGAATAATAAAATTGTTTATATAAAGCCTGTAGTAGAATTGAAAAGCAGAGGTTATTTCTGAATAATTCCTAAAAAATATTTCCATTGTTTCATTAAACAAACAATCCTTCCCTAAAATACGCAGCTTACAATTGCATGATTAAATACATATTCACTACAAATCACAACAAACGTTTTTGTTTATGCATTAATTGGAATATTAAAATGCTGATATTGTGTAATTTATCTGCTTTTCATGTTCAGCAGTTTCTAACAGCAGAACACTGGTTTGAAAGGGAGAGAGGGAGAGGTGGGTCCATCCTTTCACTTCAGAGCATTGCATTGCTCTGCCAGCTTCAACCACTGTACCAGTGCTTATCCTCATCCTGTTATAAAAAAGGGAATATAGAATCCATTGTTATTCTTGGAGGCTTATGCCAAGGGCTCTCGTTGAACTATTCTGTAAGAAGGAGGAAGTGTTGTACATGTCCATGCCCAAGACAGGAAAGGTGGTGCTCAAAAGTTAAGAACAATTGTGTGCAGCTGGACAATTTCCATAGAGTGATTTTATGGAAGAAACTGTTTATAAGTAGTTAATTGCCACTTTAAATGTGTTTTTTTCATTGACTCCTATCACCATGTGGTTTCATAAAGCACAAAGACCTTCAAGAAATGACCACCATCTGTGTTTAATGACAAACCTTTTAACACACCTTCATCTCAGACATCTTTTTTCCAGGCTTTTCAAGTTCTATAGTATTCTTTAGCAAGGAATACTCTATGTGTTCTGCAATATGATCCATGTCTATACCCTTCTCATCAATGATTGGGCAATGGCCATTAATGCAGCCATTGGGACAACAAGAATGATCTAGGCTGTATTGTAATATTAAAGAGATTTCCACCTCTTGCACAATGCTCTTGTGCATTGTTGTTTTTACTTTCCTTCTGGAATTCAATAACATCTGATTAGCTAACTGTAATCTAGTGAAATATAAGAGAAATTTACGTGTTTTACAAAGCTTAACAAAAAAATAACCTTCCAATCCATCTAAAACAATTTGAACAAGTAATTCTTTCAATGTCAAAGTATCCACTAGTAGTGAAATGTATTGGAATGTTGTCTTAAAATCATAAGGAATTATAACTGATTTTTTTTTTTGTGCCTGTAGTATCACTGCTGAACAAGTGCTCTGAAAAACTCTTTTGGAGCAGGGAACCATGTTTTGCTTGGTCAGCACATAGCATAAGCTCAATGCAGTTTCTTAGCAAGCTCCTGGACGTCAGCAAATGGCAAATAATAAAAAAGCTGTATTAGACCATTGCACCAAGTGGCAGCTTAGTACTTAATCTGTGAGCTAAAAAAAAATACAACTCAACAGCAGGGTTGCATAATACTGGGGCTGATGCAGTATGTACTTACAGAACAGGACTGGCTCGGTATTAGTAAAAGTCAATTTGTAAGATATTTGCTGTGAGCATCGTGTTGCACAATACATGAAATAAATTACTGTGTGCATGCATGATCATATTCTGATCACAGAACAAATGCCTGTGTTCTCTATTGCACATTCTCAAGTGTAAATCATCAGGTTTCCAAAACGTCTTTGAAGAATTTTTTTTTCTCGTGATTGGTTTGATGTTGAATCAAGTTCAGTCACCTCAGACACTGACAGCTAAGCCTGAAGGTGAAATACTCAAGGTATGAGTCCCATCTTGTTTGTGAATGTTTGCACAGCCAACATTTGAAACCATACCCAATGAATTTGCTTCGAATTTCAAATTCGTGTGACTGCAGCACCCCGAGAAGAGGCACTGGCACCCTCAGCCCCTGCCCGCCCTGGGACAAAGCCCTGGGGAGGGGTCGGTCCGGCCCTCCCGCCAGTGCCGGTGCCCCCAGGAGGTGGCAGGGCCACCGTGGCCAAGGCACCAGTGTGAGGGACAGGGCAATTTGCCTGGGCCTGGGGAGTGATCCCAGAGATATTATTTCAAAAATACCTGCAGCAGGAATAGTGTGGCCAGCAGGATCAAGGAACTGATTGTCCTGTTCTTGGCACTGGTGAGGGCACACCTCGAGTGTTGCATCCAGTTCTGGACCCCTCAGCTCAGGAAGGACCTTGAGGTGCTGGTGTGTGTCCAGAAAAAGGCAACGAAGTTTGGGAAGGGTCTGAAGCACAACTCCTATGAGGAGCTGATGAGGGGGCTCAGCCGGGAGAAAAGTACGCTCAAGGGGGAACTTCATTGCTCTACAAGTACCTGAAAGGAGGTTGTAGGGGTCGAACTCTTCTCCTAGGCAACCAGTGAGTATACTCGAGTCTTAAACCATGCCAGTGGAGGCTTAGGTTGGACGCAGGAATAATTTCTTTCCAGAAAGGGTGATTAGACATTGGAATGGGCTGCCCAGGGAGGTAGTGGAGTCACCGTCCCTGGAGGTGTATAAGGACAGGCTGGACGTGGCCTTTAGTGCCAGGGTCTGGTTGACACGGTGGTGGCTCAGTCTTAGGTTAGACTCGATAATCTGAGCTCTTTTCCAGCCTCAATGGCTCAGTAACCCTGCTCCAGAGGCACCCAGGACCGGCCCCCCTCAGCCTCGCGCTCTGAGGGCGCGAGTGCCCGGATGTGCCGCCCCGCCTCCCGCACGTGCGCGGCGCCAGCGCGCGCGGCTCCGCTGGAATGGGCCGGGCCGGGGCCGGGCCGGGCCGCTGAGCGGGAGCGGCACCGCCGGCAGCCATCTCCGCCCGGCCCCGGGGTGGGCTGCGCGCCGCCCCGCCCGCAGAGCCTTCTGAAGGAGGGTGAGGGGGCGGGAGTGCCGACAGCGGCGGCCGCCCCCTCTCTGCCGGGGGCGGGCAGGGTCCCCGCGAGGCCGCAGCCGGGCACACGGCGGGGCGGCCCCGCCGGGCCGCTCTGGGCCCTGAGCAGGTGGAGGTGCCGGTGCCCGCACCGCGCCCTGGGACGCGGCTCGCACCGGCCCGGCCGCTGCCGTGCGGCCGCTGGTGGATGTGTGCCGTGTTATTATTTGCTAGTAAGGAACACTCGCTCCCGGGGGAGGTGCGGGGCTGCGGGCAGCAGGGCGGCGCTGCGGGCCCGGCCCGAACCCTGCGGGCGTTGAGATGGGAGCGCCTCGCCCGGGGGAGAGCTGAGCCCTCCGCGACCCCAGGCGTGCAGCTGCAGCGGGGGTCACTGGGCTGTGAGAAGAGCTGCGACCCTTAGACCAGGGGCTGTTAACGAGTTCGACCCTTCTTCTGCGAAATGCGTGGATTTAGATGGCACTTGGTCAATCCATTTTAGCGTGGTCAGGCACTGGAATAGGTTACCCGAGAAGGTGGTGGAGTCACCATCCGTAAGGCGTTTAAAAGACGATGTGGCCCTGGGTGATGTGGTTTAGAGGTGTCAGTGGCCGTGCTGGCTTGATGGTTGGACTGGACGATATAAAAGGTCTCTTCCGAACCTGATGATTCCAAGATTCCAGAATCAGCGTTGTTAACAAGTGTATCCTCAGCACCTGTACGCACAGATCCACATCGCGGGTGCAGGTCGCTTGGCTGACACTTGGCAGTGACATTCTTTGGGACGCGGGGAGCCAGGTGGGGAGCTGTGCTGCCGTGCCGAGCCTTTCTGCCAGCAAATATATTTGCCTTTGTTCCATTTATGTGGGTTTTGTGTTGGTGTGCAGTGCAGCAAACTGCTGTTAGTCAGTCTCAGTGCAGTCAGGAGATACCAGGACTTCTGCCTGCTGCAGGCAATTGCCTGAAATAAAGACTACAGGATTTAAAGTGAATTAATTGTCCTGATATTTACTTCATAGCTAAAGAAGTATCTTTTTATGAATGGAGATGTTTCAAAAACACCTCCATAAAGTCTGGTGTGTCAATATGTCTAAAATACTTAAAGCTTAAACATCAATCACTTTTTAAGAAAAAAAGCCAGGATTACACTGTCATGTGAGTACAGCTTGTTCTGAAGTTCTTGTTTATGGGAAGGTGTTCACACTTCTTCCTGACACTGCATCTTTTCCTTTATGAGAAAAAATGCCCAGGTTTTGAATTAATTGAGGTTTTAAAGCTTTCAACAAACGCACAGCTGGCATTTCATAAAATTATTCTCTTAATGTGTGGCATTTTATCTTGTTCCTTCCTAAAGTTTTCTTTCCTGTGTAATTGCTTAGGGCAGATGTGACTTTGTGGTATAACTTGCATTTTAAACTTGACAAGATTGCTGTCTGGTAATGATACCAGTTATTAAGCAAATAAAAACACCTAGAAGCTGAACATCCTTAGTACATTATTGGGAGTACAGAATATCTTTCAGGATTTAGCAGTATTTGGAGAAGTATAGAAAACTGAACTTAATGATGCAAATGAGTTTTAGAAGCAGTCATACAATAACATGGAAATTGCCTTTATATTTACCTTTTGTTTGTCAAATTCTGTTGATTAGGTAGTATCAAACAACTTTAATAGAGAGGGTTAATACATAGATATTCAGACAAATTTAGTGGTTTCTATGCATAAAATACTTAAAAATTGGAACTTTTACTTGTTAGCCTAGCAGTGAAATTAGATAATTGATGACACAATGGATTAATGTAATATTGGATAGGGAATATGCTTAGTTGAGGTTTGAGGTTTTTTAAACAGCGTTTAGATTACTGGTGAAATGATTATTGGAAGGAAGAGGGAATATATTTTATTATAGACCATTTATTTTTGTGGGCCTTCTTGGCATTTCCGTCTTGTAACCTCTTCCTCTTGTGTGTTTTGCTTTGGTTTTTTACATGTGCAGCTTTTAACCTCTGTCAGTGACATGTACAGAAACCATAGCATCAGCTTCAGTCTTTAAAAGAATTAAAAGTAGTCTGTTAGGATTTGTCTCTGGGATCAAAAGTAAAATTGTGTGGCTGAGCAGTGTCAGGGACGTTCTGAGTCTGATACCTGTGGGTTCAAAGCCAAAACTGGAAAACTCCATTAGTGTTACTGTATGAAACAGCATTTGATAAATGCCAGACTTTAAAATAACTAATTTTTAAAAATTTTTCTAAAAACAGTGAGCAGTAGGTTTCTATTGATTTAATCATATGTGTCTGTATATGTATATATGTACACACACAGTCTAAAATATTCTAATAAATGAAATGTTCATGTTGGAACAAGTCCATTTGAGTTGGTGATATAGCAAAAAGACAAAATGTGGATGTGAACAGTTTCCTTTTTTTTGGTAAACATTCCATTGTATTGGAGTCTATAGAAAACAAAAATGTATTTCTGTTATAGAATTGGCACTTCCAAGTGTGAAGACTTGAAGGAACTAGGGCTGAGTTTGTGTGTTGCAGTTGAGTTAAAAGGAGCAGATGATGCACCTCTGGTACTGCTGTTCTTGCCAGAGGTAATTGGAAAGACAAATATAATCTTAGAATTTGAGCAGGAATATGAAAGGTGCTAAAAGATGCAACATAAAGTATATTGAGATCACTTTACTCTCAGGATTTTAACCTAAAAACATACTTTTACATCTGAAAACTGCAGAAATTGAGACAGCTGAACTAGTATTCTTAAGGCTTTAATTTCTCAGGTAGAACAAAATATGTAACTTTTTAAATAACGAATCCTTGAGACATCTTTGTGATTTTTGTTTTTCCTTTTTACTTTCCAACCACCCAGGAATGTGCTGAAACAGACACTCTAGAAGGGTGCTAGAGATACAAGGTAAGTGCTGTAGCTTAAAAAATTTAAACTTTTTAAGCAAGTTTTTTGAAGTAAAGCTTCTGTGCTTTTTTTTTTAGTGAGCAATGTATCCCTTTAAGTTGTGCTTAAGGTTTTATAATCCTGTTAAAATGGAAGCTTTTCCAGAAGATCTGTTCCTATACAAACAAAAATTTGGTTATGTGTAGTACTTGTATTACATAAACTTAAGAGCGAGTTATTGTGATTTTATGCTTTGGCCTTTGATATGAGTGGGTTTTAATCACCTCTTAAGATTATGACTTAAATACTTACATGCTGATTAAACAATATTTTCTCTTTTTAAAGGACTGTCATGCTTGCAAGCCTTCACGATGTTAGCTGTTTTCCAAATGTGAATAGTTTTGATATTAAAACTTTGGCCTGTAGAACACTTTGTTTACTTTTAACAGTTTTTCTGCAGTGACTCAGGCTTGTACCAGCACAGCACATCCAGAGGGACTCCAGACCCTGTGTGGTTTGGTTACATCAATCCACTTAGAGATGAGGAAAATTCTCTCTCGAAGGGAATCACCAAGGGTGTTTAATGGTTGCTGATAGTGCTGTTTCAGGAGGTGTGAGGAAGGGAAGTCAAGCAGCTTAGTAAAACAAGGAAGCTGGGTTATATTGACTAACACATTCTCAGTTCTGGAACTGTGTGCTTCTGGAGTTTAGCTGGTTCCCTGAATGGTGAAAATTCTGATCCTGCCCTTCCCTCCTCATCTTCAGTGTGGGAAAAAGAGGGTGGGACAGGTTGCCTGATTTTCAGGATAACCAAGACTTAAAGCCTCTTGATAGTTTCCACTGAGGCCTCCTAGATGAACCAGAGCATTGGTTCCAGCTCTACAGAAAAAGCAGACACTGCACACGACTGTCATGGCTAAGAGCTGCTCCAGAGACTGGAAGAACAAGATGTACAGAACTGGATATACACAGAAGGGGGTATGTATCTGTAGCATTGATGTATTCCAACAAACCCCAGAACTGTGTTAGGCAAAAAATCCCAACTAGAAACACATAGAGGTATGGGAGCTTCCCCTAACCTGAAGGCAAGGTGTGTTTAGGGTTGTGTGCAGGCTCTATGAAGAGCAGGTTTGATTAGACTTGGCAAACCAGTTCACTTTGCATCCTCCTTTAGTAAATCTGCAGCCTTTGGTTCTTACTGTGAATAAATCTGCTGTTTTTTTAGCTGCATGTCCAAAAAAAAAAGATGAACCACTGAAATTAAGACTGTTTGCACTTGACAGCCATGAATGTTTCATGTTTGTTTTTCAAATGAAGAAATGCTTCTTCTTATTCCATGTTGTGCTGTATTCCTAGCATTGTTTTTAAACATTTTTAGCACCTGAAGTTCAAGAGCCAGACTTGCCCAGTGTTAGTTACAGAACACAATTTTTTCAAACTTTCCTTCTGTGGCAGAGATTGATGTCTACCACAAAAATCTTCCATATCCTGAAACTCCAAAGCAAATGCACATTACAGAATTTATTGAAGTGTTCAGATTACTGTTATTAAATCCAGATGTTAATGTAACAGTTTTGCACTTGGGCAACAAACTAGATCTCTCTGATTGTTGACTCAGTAGAGAGTATTTTAAGATTTCATATTTGGTACTTGGCTTAAACATTAATTAAATGTTTGAAAAGGGGCTTTTACCTGGGCATGGTGCCAAGAACAACAAAGTGAGAGAGAAGTCCTAGTTACGCTCAGTTTTGATCTTTACACCAACTAGTGAAACACAAATTAACAAGACAAAAAATAAAGACACAAAGGAAACCCACTGGTTTTCTATCTTTCTAAGTGAATTTATGACACAGGTAGTCCTAGTTACATACCTGAGAAGAACATGCAGTTGTGTTCATGTTTCCACATTTTGTGTCTAATACTAGAAGCCTGCTGGAAGGCTAGGGAACAGTTGCTGAAAACTTGTTTACAAATTCTAGAGACATTAAAATTAGTTTCTTAGTCATTCTTTAAAAGAGGTAGCTCATAAAAATTCAGCAGAGAAACTCATTAAAATGAGTTCAAATTGTTTGTGTATTAAGTCCAGTTAATACCCAAAAATGGTTCTTACATCTCATGTAGAGGCAAATTTCTCAATATTTCCTACACAAAAAAGGTAGAAGAGACACAGAATTCCAGCTACTGAAGTTCTGTTTAATTACATTGCTGCAATGCTTAATTTTGTTCCCCATATTTTTAAAATTGACAGTGTATAGCTTGGTAAAGTTGCAATCCAGCAAAGCTTTAAGCGTGTGTTTCTGACACTAAATAGGTTGCACAAAGCCGAACACACGCTTAAGGCTTTTCATGATTTACGTGTTAGTAAAGCTTTAGAAAGTAGTGTTGTGACATGGGCAGAGCAGTGTGTGTGACAGTGTGTCTGTGGTGGCTGTCTCCTTACAGTTCTTACAGCTGGTCCTCACTGCCCCTGCACACAGAACTGCACTGCTACAGGCGCAATTCTGTGTGCAGGCGCTGTCCTACCCTGGCAGGGGTTCACTGTAAGATGGGAATTAGGGGTCTGTGCTTGACTGTTGTCTAAGGGAACGCCTGATGTCACCCTTAATCTCATGGTGTGTTTTTAAAATGCTGCAAAGTGTGTTACCAGTCTTCTTGTACATTGTGCATCGGCCAACAAGGCATGTTCCCTTGTGCATGAGTGGCTGGAAGTGTGAAAGAAAGGAGTGTTTGTACTTCTGTAATCTTCCCTTGGAGCTCAGGCAGGTGAGGATCTCAGGATTGGTGTATTCTGAGAATGGAACTTGCTGAATATACTGAGATGGTTACACAGAAACTAATGGGGAGCTTCCTGTTCATTGAGGTTGGCCTGAATTCTACCATTTGTGTGTTTTTTAAGGAGTTTTTGAATGGACTAATAAATCTCTCTAAACTATTTTTGACTGTATTTTTTCATCATACTGTATTTTTTACACTATTTTCTTTTAGGATTTCCTCTTTAAAAATAAAATTTTAAACATATTTGTCCATGGAAAGTACAACTAAGACAGGTACCAAAAAAGAAAAGCCTTAAGGTTTGGCTAATGTTTTTGCTAATGTTTTTCAGTATATAATTTAAATTTAATTAAAGACAAGTTACTGCTTTATTTTGCAGTCTTTATTATTTCTGAATTTTTGTGGGTTAATTACAGTAATGCTTCTTTGTGTTAATGTCAAATAATACAGCAGCACTCAAATACAAAGTACTGAGCAAATACTGTCAGTTTTTGCAAAATATAAACACATATGGTTATGGGAATTACAAGTTTTCCAATGTGAATCAAGCCCTAAATAATTCTCTCTGTATCTTTAGACAGTTTTAACCAACTTTCTTTGCCTCTATGAATAACAGAGTGTAATTTGTGATTTCTTCTGGAATCAGATCCCCCCTCCTCTGCCAGATGTTCCACCCTTCCTCTGTTCTGCCAGTTAAACCATTTGATGACTCTTTTACCAGGTCCTGCATCAGAAGCCCAATTTTAGAAACTTGTCATGCAAAACTGATAAAAGAGAAAAGTGGAATCTCTTGGAACGGGTGAAATGCAGGTTGTGAGAACCTGCTCTGGCCCACAGTTCTTTGCTGTCCTGGCAATGCTGCAGGCAGGAGCACAGGTGGGAATGTGGAGCCAGCCCAGCCGTTGGACATGGGGGATGGGTAAAACACTGGGACTGCTCCCCTTTGCTGCAGAGTAAACCACACTCACAGGAGACCCTTGGACACAGTTCTACACCAACTGTTCCTCAAATACCTGGGGCACTTGGGGCCTGAAGGTGGTGCAGAAGAGAATTCCGTAGCACCTCCCATCTGCCTTTGGGTTCTTGGCATCAGCAGTAGACTTTGGAAAGCCTAAGCCAAGCCTTGTGCTGGCTGAGGTCAAGAAAAGGTTATCAAGGAAGGATGGTATACAGAGCATTTTTGATGGGTAAAGCTGAGTTGAGGTGATTTAGTGATGGAGGATAGAAAAAATAGAGAATACAGGAATAGAAATCAGGAAAGTGGGTATTGAAGTGATCTGGGGAAAAAATAACTATTGTCTGACACTAGAAGAAGAACAATGAAAATAAACCAAGAGAAAAACTCCTTGGCTACAGTATTTATATCTGATACCAGATTATATTTTATGAATATGTTTTTTTTTATCACATTATCAGTATTTTCCAACAGAGTTTCTAATAAAGCTTTGTAGTATCTTTTAAAAATATTTTAAGTGCTGCTCAAACTACAAGAACTACAGAAAGTAAATGTGTGACAGCTGCTAAGTGCAGAAATTTGTAATCTACTGTAAACAATTTTATGTTACCATCTATTTCTTACTTATTTTTAAACAAGCAGCTTTGTATGGAATGAAATATTGGAACACAATAGTTTAACAGATAAGACTTCTTTGAAATTGGCCTTAAGCAACATAAACTCTCCTGACCCAGAGTTTCTGCCCTATTAGTCTTTAGCTCATTTCAGTAGGGAAAATGGAATTCAAGTTCATTTTAGTTTTGGAGATCGTGAGAAATTGGTTCTTAAAGTACTGAGGGCATGGACTGTGGATTATAGCATTAACTGTTTGGAACATCAGAGTTTTCAGGCACCATACTAATAACATACTTTCTCTGATTATTTTAGAATATGGGTGTTGATCTGGAGATAAGGCTTCATCAGTTATGATCTTGGATCTGTATTTATAAAGAAGCAATAAGTTATATTCCTTCCTGTGGTCTTACCCTGTTCCTTGTTAGAAGAAATGTGCTTCATTTGAAAAGTAAAAATTTGGCTTCTGTTAAGTGAAGAGTGTAATTTTGTCTTTATCAAATTATTTATTATGCTGTTGGTCATAGTACTGTGTGTGTGGTATATCTTCGTGCTTAATTTCCAGTGTTTAGGAGTCTCAGGGCTGGGATTTTGTGGTTTGTTGTGGGATTTTTCTTCCTGGAAGTCTGCTTAACTGTATGGAATTCAGCATTCTTTCAGTCTGCATCCTCGTTGTGTCTAT